GGTTTACAGTGAGAAGTTTGAATTAACAGGGCAGAGAAAAGAAGAGGTAATGGCTACTTTTCTTTAACTCGATAAATAAAACAAACAAAGGAGTTCAACTGTAATTAAGGTTTAACCTCTCCGCCCTTACCATTTCCATTACTTTCCTTTAAGGCTCAAGCTTGTTTGATTAGGTTCCCAAGATCAAGAAATCTTCTCAAACTGGTTTTAGCGGGGATGATAGACATTAACGAACTTAGTTTTTTTTAAAACCCTTTTTTTTCTTCGAGTGAACCATAGGATTAGAAACGGAAAGTTCATTAAATAAATAGACCGACTTCATTTAGAACTAGCTGGACTTTCATACGAATGTAACAGTATTTGAAACTCATGAAATGACCTACTAGGAGGATTTTTCCTTCGTCTGCGATTCAGTGATTGGCACTGGTATTCTTTAGGATACTTTTAGATATTATTACATAACTCTAACTTACGCACCCGAACCCAACGACCCTACATCAAAACTAAATGTTGCAGAGATTACATTATAGTATGTGATCACCACTCAGCAATAACTAGAAACTAGATGACAAATGTTACGTTGTTCCAATATTGAAGACCAATTGGAATCACACGTATATGCAGAAACGAAGATTCACATGGCAGAGTTCTGTGTTTATGCGTGGAAAAAGCTTCCATTCCCAGTTCTGGAAATATTTAGTTGATTAACCCTGCCTCGCTGCTGTCTAACCGAATTTCTGAGAAAGAAACATAGAAACTTGCCTATTTATCATAAAACTATCTTATTCATTTACCTTGTATCAGACCGAGGCTGAAGTCAGTGTGGATGGTATACCTGTGGCAAGTCCGTTTGTCAAATTTTTCAAGGCCACAGCAACCAAAATGCATGCCCGCAACAGAAGCTCAACTCAGCATCCAAAGGTGGCATCTAGGCCCGCACATGCACCACTCCTCTACAAGTGTTGCGCTGTTGATTACATAAAAGAAGAAAATCGACTGAAAATCAGGAAAGGGGAATACGTTGGTAAAGTAGTTGCGAAGGACACCACAGTCGAGGGTCTTGTAAAGCGTGATGACGAAGATTATGA